CGGGGACGGAGCACACCACGCTCCCACCCGCCCGTTAACGCGCCGTACCGGAAGCCGCGTCGTCTTGCACTTCTTGATGTTTTTCCATTTTGCTGACCTTCTTCTTGATTTTCTGCGTTTCTTCCGTTGACACCAGACATTTCTTTGCAATCTCCTCCATCTTCTTGGTTGTATCAGTCAATTGCTTCTGTTGATTGCTGAGGACACTTTCAACGTTTGGTTGATTTTCAACATTTGATCCAGTAGAGGGCGAAGCATCTCACTTTCTTGTTGATTGACAGTTGGCTCAGTAAGGCAGGGGTTAAGACCAGAAGTCCCTCCCGTCCTCTTTGCCGGCTTGTCCTGCAGCTTCTTTTGCCCCGACATCTTAACTTTATTGTTTACTTTTTTAAAGTTTGTGCCGCGCAGCTTGGGATTCTCTCCCTCTTCCTCGCTTTAAAGAATTCCCCAAAAGGTAACTTTACTCTTTTAAATTTTCACTCCCCCCCTTTTTCTCGGTTAAAACAGTCTCGTTCTACTGGGGGGGGTTTCACCCTCCTCCCTTCCGTTTAATCCAATGGGGGGGAATGCACTTAAACCTTTATCTTTTACTTCGATCGTCACTCACAGTAAGCCATCTTCCGCTTTCTTTTACTTTTGCTTCTTCGCTTCTTCGCTTTTCATCACTCCGAGAACCGGTGGCGTAGCTTGTCCCCACAGAGGGGCACAACGCAGCGGGGCCTCTGGGGCATGGGGAGAGCCTCAATTTCTGACCATCAGGTCGACAAAGAGGCACTCCCCCGGTGTGCCCCCTGGTCCGGAGCCTTTACCTAAGGCTCCTTAGGGTCTCCGCTTGTGCGGATCACCCCTTCCGCGCGTGGGCGATTCGCCTCCAGGAGCATCCCAGGAGAGCGACCGCCATTCGCGCCGGCAAAACCGGAACAGAGCTATCTCTGTTTTAACTGGGTAGGGAAATTCATCTCTCACTAGAAGATTTATCCATTTTTCTGGCCTGAATGGGAGTCTTCACCTAATTACCCATTCCTCCTGCCAACCTTCCCAGTACTCTGTCTGTGTTAAACTGCTCTCAGTCAGGGCTAAGGAGAAACCCTGTCAGTACTAAATCCTTCTCTGTCAAGGCTAGACTCAGATTTGCCAGTCTCAGATTTGTCTTCTCAGTCAGGGCTGAATTCAGACTCTATCAGCACCCGACTCTTCTCTGCCAGGGCTAGACTCAGACTGAATTCTCCTCAGTATTCAGTTCTCAAGTATTTTTCTGCTCAACTGATGCTAACCAATCAGATCTCTTGGAGCAGCTTGTCACTCAAGGTTCTCTGGCTCTGTTAAGAATTAACTCTTCACAGTCCTTTACATGTTTACACAGCACTTATATGGTTTTAAAGTACAGTCCATCACACACATCCTTTAGGATCCCCCTGTTGCATGGTGCCATTTGATCATCACATAAGAAAATACGTCTTAAACTAACAGCCTAGTTAATTACTCCTGTGATGTGTACTCCCTCCCTCAGTTCTCTTTTATACTGATAACTTTTGTTTTTTATAGTGGCAACGCTCACTTGTAGGAATATATTTTTGAAATTGTATTTAAATACTTATCAATACCTATCTCTCAATTACTGCTCATACAGCTATCACTTTAAGAAGAAGTTAGAACCAAAAATTATTTTAAAAGACCTTACTCAGTATTATTTCGCTTATATTTGATTATTGTACCTATGAAATTTGCCACTGAGGGGGTGACACAATCATTTGTATCCAATAGTAGCCATGACACTTGGGCTTGCACATTTAGCAATGCCATATTTTTAAGTAAAGGGGTAACTAAATTAGCCCTCAATTCATTGAATACACGCATGAAGCTGGTTTATGTTGGTCCATCAAGGTCAGTATTGTTTATGCAGACTGGCAGCAGCTCTCCATCATCTCAGGCAAAGGTCTTTCATATCATCTACTACCTGGTCCATATAACTGGAAAGGTGGGAAATTAAACCTGGGACCTTCTGCATGCCAACCAGATGCTGTACCATTGAGTCATGGCCCCTCACCTAAGATATCTGGAGAGGTAAAGATCAGTGTTAACTTTGATAAAGAAAATAAAATTGAAGGATCTGATTGCTAAGCAAGAGAGCATTACATCAGGATACAAAAAAAAAGTTAATTTGAAAGGAAAAACTAATTACTCTCTCCCTCTGACAAGAGAATTACCTTGTTTGATTGTGCCCTGGTGTATCCCTAGAGCTCTGGACGGAGCAGACTTACCCATTAACTACATGATAGAAGTTTAGAAAATTATGCATGGCAGGGAGGAAGAGAAACACATTTTCTCCACTACCCATCATTTTCTAAGGATCATTGATGTCCACTAAACATAACCCCCCCCGGGGGGGAGTTCTAAGGTCCATGGATAAATATTTTTATGATTAAGGAATCTGGAAAATAGAATATGTTGTTTAATGCAAACTAGGCTATTCCCTGATGTGAGAGTTCACAGCAGAGTTCATGTTAAAGATTCACTTAGATCCATTTTTCTTTTTGATTTCTTTTTGCGGGTGAAGGGTGACATATGAGCTGCTGAAACTAAGCTCCTTACAGCAGGTCTTGGGTAATGTGAGAAGCCCCAGGTCATACGGGAGAAGTCCATGTTGTGGTTTCCACCCCCTACCAGCACTGCTTCTGCGAGACACTAGGGAACCACCATAATGGGAATGAGCTGCTGTGTGGAAGTCTCCCCTGTTGTCTGGAAGAAATTCAGATTCCACACTACAAAGCCCAATTAAGAAGGAAGCCTTAGAACACTGAAAAACCTAATTATCTGAGAATTGACAGTTAAGTTGCCATTTTGCGGAGCTTAATCAGACAACAAAAGGCTGAGGACAGACTGGCAGTATGAAGCACGAGGGAGGCGGGGCAAAAAGACCCGGACCAAGTTGTGCCGGGGATTCCCAGTCGCACAGCACCTACTGATGCAGGAGCATACCGGGAAGGAGGCACAAGGGAGCATTTGCACTGTTGGCCCACCCCTGGTGGAGGTGGGGCTGTAAGCAGCTGTTTTTCACTCTGGCAACACACGCCTATGCCCATAGGTGTAGCAATGCAGGTTGTTTGCACCTTTTAACATGCACACTTCCAGGAAGCAGGATCAACGCGCCTTCCAGCGCTTTGCTACTGCTTTCACCTGGTACTTTTTTAACGTGGTAGGGAATCATCATAGGATGGGTTGAGTCCGGCTGGGGAATGCCTGACAGCTGTGGCTGTGTGAACCGGACCCTTTAATTCATTTGTGAAACGTGCCTCTATCGGGCCAAACTGCCAAACTGAACTCAGCCAAAGCCATGGCTAAACTCATTAAGGCTCAAACAGACAAGACAAGGCTAATCCTGTGGTGTATTCAAAAGGCTTACATGAATCGTAACTCTACATGTTAAGCTTCGAGCCAGACAAGGCTCCTCCGAACTAACTTACGATTGGTCGCTCCACATCAGCGACCAATCAGAACTGCACTATTCCCTGCGAGGGAAGAATTCTCATTGGACGTTATCCGCACAACCTCATTGGTTGATTAGTGTAAATAGACGTGGCTACATTAGCCCGGGAATGTTTAAAAGGAGCCTAGCTCCCAATGTTAATCTGTTCTGGTTATGACTTCTTTCAAGCGCTTGTTCGTACCTATAATAAAGCTGATCACTTTTGTTGAAATCACTCTCCGGATCTTTGTTAGCAGCGATCTAACAAATCCTTTTTGTTCTGTTCATAAAATGCAAATTATAAATTTGAGGAGCCTCAGTTTGCCTAAGGGTCAAGCAGGGAAATAAAGGTTGCTTTATATGTCAACTTCCATTTGGGTTCACTGCTCAGAACTGGGCTCTCTGCTGTTTTATTAGTACTTTAAAGGGGAAAAGACCAGGGGTCATTTCATAGAAAAAGAAGAGCAGGAGCTCATTAGCATAATTTATTTGCATTGCCACACCCCCTGGCATCACTGGAAGTGTGTCAAAAGGCAACACCTACTGCTCAGGCTCCACTGGAATGCTTTGGATTGCTAGCTATTGGGGGGGGGACACGCAGATCTGTCCTCACAGAGGAGGGTGAGCTTGTACCTGAATAAAACTTGGTCTTAAAGGTGCCACTGGACTGTTTTGGACCGGAGGGCCAGGGGAGTTCTGCAACTTGGTTAATGGCTAATTTCTTGCTCTGACTGAGGGCTGCTGGGAGCAGGGAGTGGGGCTTGTTGCATGTGCCTGCCCCCTGGATTCTTTACTGTCGGAGCTCCGCTCCTGTGTGCTTCTGCGGGAAATGACCCCTGGAAAAGATATATCCCTTAAAAACACAGTTTTCCCCATTAAAATGGTAATAATAAAGCAGGGAGTTCATTTCAAATAGTGAACTAGACTAGAGCTGAAGGGTTAAACATTTGCCCCCTTCCTCGCATGGCCCAAAACTGAATTGAGGCTACACATGCCTGCAATTTGCATTTTTCTGGATGGAATGAGATGCCTGATTTTCCTCTCCTCTCTTTGAATACTTATTTGCCTGAAGGATATATGCATTGAAACCCAATTTACAAAGCTTAGCAAACTGAAAGAAAATAAAGCAAATACTACCTTTTTTCCACAGTATGAAAAGACATATCATTTTCTGTATTGATGTGCACTTAGAAAACATTAAGCATTTAAAATTAAAGTAGGGGGAGAAGAAAAAGAAGAAACAATAATAGCATCACTTTCAGGGTAGGAAATCAAATTAAAATTAGTACTTAATATTCTAGATATTGAAAGCACAGCCTTCCTGCCACTTTGCATCAAAGGGTATATTTTGGGAAGCAATTCAAATAATATTTGCTTCTGGCTTCCAGACAGATCTTCAGCAAAATAAACAATTTGTGTCATTTTATTCCCTGCAGATAAACATCGACTTCAATACCAGAGACCGCATCACCCAGAATATTTCTGAACCTAGTCTCCAGTGTTTTGACAATGCCCAGAGATTAATCTACAGTCTCATGGCTAAGGACTGTTTCCCAAGGTTTCTGAAGTCAGAAGCTTATAAAGAATTGGTAAACAAGCAACAGAATGGAAACCAGAAAAGGTGGCTGCCATTTTTGTAAAGGTCAAGTTTCACAACTAGATGTAACATATTGGTTATCTTGTTTGGCAAGGTATGGGCCTCCCAGATAGTTAGGCTTGCAGTTGAACTTGAAACGGCCACACATGGAATTTTATTTCATTGCTCATTTTAATGCAATAGTAGTTAAGACAGCTTCACATTTGTCATTTTTGCATATCGAAGGGGCACTTTAAAACACCTTCAGCAGGTAGGATAGACATTGGGCATGGCACATGAGGAGACTCATGTGCACTATGCCTTGGACCTTCTGGGTAAACTGGAGCTTACACCCTACCTATACTGGACCTAAGCACATGGGCAAGGATGAACATAGGTCTTTATTCACAATAAAGATTCTATATGTAGTAGGAGTGTGCTCAGGTCAGTATCTAATTTATCATTCCTGGACAAGGTAGTTGACTGTGTAGTAGTGTTCAGCTCCCAGCAAAATCATCTTGATCTTTATCAATTTGCTTTGCGGGCTGTTTTTGGACTTCCTTAATTACTCCAGTAGAGTGGTCTTTAACCTTTCCAGACCATGGACCCAGTGAACTGTAAGCATGTGATAAGATGCCATATGATGTGACAGTCATGTGACAGGAAGAGGGGACGGAGTCATTACATCACTGGTGTCAATACTAGGACCACTTGCAATGGACCAAGCAAGCCTGACACAGGAAACACAATCTAAACACCAGGAGGTGAACCATAGTGAGGAACAAGACCAAGGCCAGAGCCAAGAAGCAATCCTCTCCATCACTGAGTGACCTTACCTGCTGTTCTGCTCAGCATGCATGTAAAGGGAGGCAGGAAAAATGGCACCCCTGCTCTCAACACATCCATGATAACAGGCGGGGGGGGGGGGTGGCAGTCCTGTAAGAGTTTGTGACCTAGTAGGGGGCTCAGCATCCCACCTGACAGCTTTGATTCAGGAGCTGAGGGTGATTCATACTGTGAGAAGGATTGCAGCAGCATGACCTTAATAATTCTCACTGGCCTTTGACCATCTGGATCACCTGTGTAGGCTGGGGATTGGGGGAACTTTGTGTCGTAGTGGTTCTATTCCTTTCTCTGTAAGGTACCAGAGGGGAGTTGTGTGAGACTATTGGAGTGAGGGCATGAAACAAACATTCCTTTGATCCGGAACCTCCTCTCCAGCTTCTGTGACAGCTGAGATCATGGAAGAAAAGGCAGGAAACAGCCAAGCACCCTTCCATCATGCATGGAACCAGCTCCAAATGACAGCTTTTTCCTGCTAGCTCTCAAATGCTATTGATAGGATCATAAGACCGATCACAAGAGGCAGCCATCTCCCAAACACTGTGCCCAATAGCAGAGAATGCTCCCCCCCCCCCAAAGAATGTTCCATACTGAAATGTCATATGTATTATATGTAGGCTTCTATGAGCCACTTGGGAACCATTTTTTCATTGGGAAAAAAAACAGATGAATAGAACAAGCAACTATTGTCACACCAAATGGATTTCATTCTGAGATGCTACAAAGTTTCAAGTTTGTCTCCAGTGATGGTCAACATCTACATGAGGCCTCTCAGTGCAACCATCTAAAGAATGCAGACTCTGGGATCATCCAAAAATTGATACTCCGTTATTTTTCTCTCTCTTTCATCTGACATGGCTTCAGCAATGGATTTACCTAATAGATACTTCAAATAAATTACCACTTGGATGAAGGTGAGCAAAATGAGGCTCAACCCAGACAGGATGGAAATGTTGATGGTAGATGGTCTCACCATTCATTAGGCTTGCCTGCTCTGGACAGCGCCTTCTGTATATAGAGCATGTGCTTTACCCCTGAATCAAGCACCTCCAGGAAGTAGCCTGTCCTATCACCCTGGTAACATTTAGTGGAACTTCCTTCCTGTCTTGGTGTCATTACTTTGAGAAGTTCCCATCCTGCTGTGTGATATTCACACCTCATCTGGAGTACTATGTGCAGTTCTGGGCTCCACATTATAAAGATGACATAGATAAACTGGAATGGGTTCAGAGAAGAGCAGTGAAGATGGTCAGGGGTCTGGAAAACAAGTCTTACCAGGAGAGGTTGAAGGCACTGGTATGTTTAGAATGGGAAACAAAAGACTAAGGGGAGACATGACCACATTGTTCAGCTGCTTAATTGTGGGCAATGACTTGCTCTCTGCTACTCCAAAGAGCAAGACTAGATCTGATGAGCTTAAGTTATGTAGATTTCAATTGAACATTAAAGAGGAAATTCCTGGTGGCATGACTGAGTGGTTCAACAATAGAACCAGTTTCCAATACAACTTGCTGGAGGTCTTCAAGAAGAGGCTGGGCAACCATCTGTTGAGAACACTATCTTTGGAGTTCTTGCATTCTTCAGGGTGCTGAACCACATAGCCTATAAAGCCTTTACCAATTCCATGGTTCTGTGAGTGTTTCCTTACCCTCAATCCATAGTGTTCAGGGGGGGGAAGGGGGGAATCCAACAAAATTAGGCCAAATGATGAAAGGAGTTGACTAGGAATTATGGGAGGGAAAACTGGAGCTTTACTTATGATAGACACTTACTCACTGTCCATTTTACTGCAGCCATACAATCCGAACATAAAAACTAAACTGCCATCATGCAAGCATCAACTATAAACTGAAAGATGACAGTCCATCACTGTTCAGTGTTTTCCTGCAGTGCAGTCTTTTTTTCACAAGCGTGAAACTTTGTTGGTTCATGATGGATATGTTGTCCATTGTTAGTATGGCCAGAACTTCCATTAGTAAGTTTTCACTCTTTTGCTTGTCAGCGTGGAAATTACAAATAGGCTGTAAGTAAAAAGGGAGAGAGCAACAATGAGGTGAAGGAACTGGGCTTGACAACAGGAGAAGGAACATGTGACACAAGATGATTAATGGGGAACTGGCAGCACAGAAACAATTACAGGACAGTGTTTGAAGACAAACACTATGGCACAACTCAGACTTTAGGAAAGGTTTAAAGGAGGAAACAACAGTTAGGTTTGAAGAAGTATGGGGGGGGGGTTCTAAGCAGTGGGAGAAAAGTGCCAAAAATTACAAGACAAAGGAACAAAGTGAGGAGATACTTTCTTAGGAACTCGTTCACACAATCATCCATGTATGCTTATGGGAGGGATGTGTGTGATAACTAATGGGGTTTATTCCATCAGAAGAACTGTGTGGTTGAATGCATGTCAGCAACACCCTGCACATGATATAAAATATACGTGGTAAGGACACACACCACACGTACAGGAAGGCTGGGTGAAGTAGCCAAAGTTATAAGAATGAGAACTTAAAGCAGATGAGGGTTAGGGTTAGGGTCAGTGTTCCCTCTAAGCTGAGTTAGCGTGAGCTAGCTCACTGTTTTTTAGCCTCTGGCTCACACATTTTCGTCTTAGCTCAGGAAGGATGGCTCCAGAGCAAACCAATTTGTGCAGTAGCCAAATCGCTGGCTCACAACTGTAATGCCAGTAGCTCACAAGGAAGAATTTTTGCTCACAAGACTCCACAGCTTAGAGGGAACATTGGTTAGGGTTAGAGGAAATATTGATATGATTACTACTTGATAACCACTGGAAACTAATGGACAGTTACTAATGGATCTTGATGGGTTGAAATCTGTCTCACTTGGCTTTGGAAGGTGATACAATGCTGCTGCTGCTGGGAAAAACTGAGAAAGGCAGGGAAATAGTTGAATTTGGAGATAGAGGGGAAAAGAGTTTCGAGTTGCAAATGTGGCTGGACTAGAAGCTGCTGGGCATGTGGAACAGCTGGAACACACACTTGCTTTGGGAATCTTTTTTTTTTTAAAAAAAAAATCTGATGGTTGTGCTGCCTGCTGTAAAAATCTATTTGCTTCCATTATGTTCTGCTGGTATATTACTAAGCAGTGCTCTGTCCTTCAAAGGAACCTTCTGCTCTTGAGTTCCTTACTGTTTGTAGGGGTTCAGTTTCTTGGTGGGCTCAGCAAAATAGTTGGGGGACACAGAGTTGGTGAATCTTAGTGATACAAAATATTTAACAGAGTATTTAGCAACTTCTAATAATTATTTTAATAGAAACATAGAATGATTATTGCCTTTAATTGTTTTACTAAATTCCTACACAGTACAACTCTAATGCCATCCATAACCCCTTAATTAAAAATATATTACAATGCAGGCCTGTTGTTTAACATTCCTCCAAATAATTATACAAATGTATCTGTTTCAAGTGTTTAATCCATGTGGGGAGGAATTTTGCAGTTTTTAAATAAATGAATAGTTAAAAATCCACATGTCCCCAATAACAACATTAATTGGGTTATATTTTCTTGGTTAATTAATTTGGGGGGGACCCTCGAAGACTTGTCGGGCTGTATCTTGGTATTTAAACATAAGTCTCTTGCACATATTAAAGTGCCTCTAAGTTGGGCAATAGAAATTCTGCAAAATTCATGTCCATGAAACCTTTGTTCTGATTAAGACAGCATAAATAAAAAGGCCACTTTGAGGCAAGCTAGAGTCGGATACTGTGTTATTGAATTTATGATATGACAAGTTTGAAGGAATGGGCGGGGGGGCTGCATCTAAAAGCCAGATTCATTCACAAATCTGGCTACTCACAGACCTACATCTGGACTTTGGTGCTACTGAGAAAAAGTCTCCAATGGACATTAAAATGTTCTGAAGGAACATCTTTTTTGTGCCAGCTAAAAGAGAGATTGTATTGAATAATTCCTATATTGGATAGAATTGTGACAAACTCTCCCAGGATATTGTCTAAGGACAAGATATCTTCTGGGTGAGCAACAGCCAAAGCAGCAAGGTTTATCACAAAGCAAGATGTTAAATGCTTGTAAACAAAGATAGACTTTGATTTATTTATAACAGCTGGGAAAAGGAGGAAAACACACTGACACTCATACCCATTTGAAAAAGGGTAACATTGGGGTATGAATGCTCCGCCCACATGTAACAACACTAATGGTCTAGGGCTACTGTGTAATTTCTGTCACTGTACCTTT